TCTATGAGCTTTCATTAATTAGAAAAACTAATGAGAAAACATGGTAACAGAATTAATATGTGTTCTTGGAGGATTCCACTTGTAGGCTACATCAAGACCTCTTTTGTTTCTGCTTCTCCACATCTTACTGAGAGGACAATGAATTTTTCAAAGGTGAAAGTCATCCATGAAAAGCAGTTTTTCCAGGAAAGTGAGATTTAAAGAACACATACCCTCCACTTTCTCTAATAATTGATAAAATTGTGATTTCAATCTTTATATAAACCAAACCTGCCACTTACCTTCACATCCAGCCTCAAATATGTGGCCTTGCTGGCTCACATGGGGGCCATAAAACTTGCCAATATGTTCTAAGTTCAAGGTAGTAGCCTAAATAAATTGGAACCAGAGGGTTAGGCTCAAGAAAAAGAAAAATCTATTGAAGACCTTTGAATAAGGAACTAACATTATGTCTTCTTGAAATCTCTATTTTTTTATTGAGTTTATTGGTACATTTTAGTTATACAGTACAGTTACATTCATTGTTGGGATCTTGTACCTTTACATGACAGGTCTTGATTCTCATTTTTTCCTCTTGTCCCTGCCTCCCCTTCAGCCCATCCTCCCCTCCCCATTTACAAACACTTTATTTCCATTTTTTCATTTTCTCATATTTTTTTCTTTTCCCTATTACCTTTCACCTACCATTCCCACTTTCCCTACACCTTTAATCCTTTTCTTCCTATTTCACATTGTCAGTTATCTCATTAGGATCTTATGTACTATTATAGTTTTTCTTTAAAGGTCTACTAAAATTTCTCAATAAATTCATCAAAATCAGGCATTATCTTTGTTATGAAACATTCTATTACTGCCAGAATATAGTAGCTTTTTACTAATATAGTTTGATTTTTATATTCCCATGGTTCAATTTTGGTTGGCTGTGTTTGTCTACAAATTTATGCATTCCTTTCGAATTTCCAATTTTTTGGAATGTAATTTTTAAAATACTGCCTATGGTTTTCTAGATTTCAATGATACTTGTTGTAATAGCCTATTTTTCAGCTCTAATGCCATCACTTCGGATCATCTCCATCTACACTGGCCCACTTTTTGCAGTCTGGATCCATCTTCCGAGTCCTTCTCTCTGGTGACTGGAGCTTTCACTTCCCTAGGCAGCTGTGCTTCAGGATGGGGCCTGGATTTCCTTGGTCTGGCACCCAGTGTCCTCCTCTTCCATTTACAACTAGTTTTTTTCTATTTATGTACCACAGGCATCATTGCCTTAGGCTATCGCTGCCTTGGGCTAGTATTTAGGCAGGCATGGGGGGCAGGGAAGGAGGAAGGGAGGAAGGGGGGAAGGGAGAACCAGAGGAGGGGGGGCAGGGAGGGAGGGAAGAGGAGAGGAGAGGAGAGGAGAGGAGAGGAGAAGAGAAGAGAGAGGTAGGACTTTCTGTTCTCCCTTACAGCACACTCAAGCCATGGGGATGCATTTTAAGATGGATCCCAGTCCCAGCATGGCTCAATCTGGTGGAAATTGCTGGGAATTACCTCTCCCACACCAGGACTCAGGTCACTTCATCAATGGCTTGCTAGCATTGCGTTCAAGCAATTTGCCATGGTTCCCTGATCTCATCATGAAGCACATTCTGGTTCACATGGATGACTATTCCAGAGCAGCTGGAAGGTGCTGCAGGCCTCCCCTCTGCAGTGATGTTCTATTTCTACATTTTTAATGCCTTTCTTGAAATGGAATCCCTATTAAGGGCCATGTCCCCCTTTGTACAGTTTTGGCCCTTAAGTGCTTATTTTAGTAGGAGAATTTCGTTTTTATTTTTATTGTTGAGTCCAGACTGGCCTTAAACTCACTATGTAACCCAGGTTGCCCCAAAATGGCAGCAATGCTCCTGCTTCAGCCTCCCTTGCACTGGGATGTGTGCCGCCACCTGGCAGTAGGACAAATTTCTAATTGTTAAGCGACTCTGGAAAAGAATATAAAGAACTTACATTTGAATAGAAAGTCACAACATGTGATCAGATGTTTTTAGATATAGCTGGAGACTGTTATTTAAATAAAGTGGAGAACTAGATGTATTGAAAAGTTGTTTGGCATTAAGTACCAACGGTACTTCTGCCATTCTATCACTTTTCTGTGGAACTGCTGTGTTCTCTGAAGTTTTATAAATCTCATTTGTCATCTCTCAGAATCTTCACTTAACAGCTCAGCAAGGCAAACTATTGTGGATTCAGGAAAGTGATGGTGTAGAGTAAAAAAAATACTTCAGGGTAAAAATGGAAATCTTAAACAGTGTTTTTGGGAGGATCCTGTTATGTTTAATTGAGGATGTTATAAGTATAGTTCTTTAGACTCAGAGAACTTATACACAAACACACACACACACAAATGAGCACACACATACACAAACTCATATATTTTACACACACTGTATGTGTGTGTGTATATATTCAAATTATACCATAGACAAAAATAGATATAGTTTAGTGAAAATAAAACAGAAAAGACTGGTCAAGACTGAATATTTAAAGTCCAAGAGGCAAGGCTGAGGACCTTTGGGTTCATCTGAAGGTCCATATTGGAACTCACAGGTTTTGTCTTTAAATATGTCTCCCATAGGTATGAAAGTGCTGGCAATGGGTGCATGTATCTTCCTAAACTCTGCTCTTCTGAGACACCCATAAGGAACTGTATGTTTTTGTCCCTGAAATTCAAATGTTAAAACCATAACCTTGGACATGATGGTTCCAGGTGCAGGAAAACTGAAGGGGAAATTAAGCTTTGATATGATTGAGAGGGTGAAGCCTTCTCAACAGGATCGATGCAGTTGGAAGAAGAGTAAGAGTAAGACCTGCTGATGCCTTCATTTTGGCCTCACTAGGACCCCAAGCTGTAGGAGATAAATGTGTCATGTTTAAACCACCCAATCTATGGAATTGTTTTTACTGTAGCCTGAACTAAAATGGTTTGATTTTCCACTTATTCTTGAGATTGCATCCCCCTTTCCTCCTGCTCCAGTTCTTCCAGTGCATCTGTACTCAGCACCCGTTACATCTTTACTTCTGTGCTGTACCAGGTGCCTACAGGAATTATGCATAAAGACTCTTCCTGGGATGATCTGTGGGGCAACAGATATGTAGAAGGAAAGCTAAAAGAGTGAAGGCAGTGGGCGTGTGGTACGTAAAGTAGGTAGGCTGCAATGGAATACAGTACTTTATAACCAGGATGCGTGAGACCTCACGTCAATATATTTTCTTTCTGAAAATGAATCTGTATTTTGTACTTTTTTTGTCTACACTTAAATTAGTACCAAATTTGGGCTGCGATTTGTGTGGTAGAATAGAGATGAAGATTGGACCCTTTCCCCTTCAGCACTTACCTGTGAGATCAATAATATTACAGGTGGGAAAAGCGCAAGATTTTGCAAAGCTAATAATTATAAGGTGAATTTTATTTTATTTATTTATTTATTTGGTACTGGGGATTGAACTCAGGTCCTTGTGCTTGCAAGGCAGGCCACCGAACCGCTGAGCTAAATCCCTGGCCCTATAAGGTGAAATTTTTGAAAATGCACAAAATGTATGATTTCGAAAAATAATTTCTGCACCTCAAATTTTCTCTTCCCTACCCTATGAAATTTCAGATGATTGATGAAAGAAATGAGGAAAGAGCAAGATCTGTGTCAGTAAAGCACCAATGCATTGTAGGTAAGGGCAGCTATAGCTTCATCACAGATTTAGGATGAATGGTTTGAATTACTTTAGGGTAATTGATTTATTTTTATTTTTTAATATATTTTATTGGTACATTTTAGGTATACAATGCAGTTACATTCATCATTGCGATCTTGTACCTTTACATGATGTATCTTGGTTCTTATTTTTTCCCCATTCCCCTGACCTCCCTTCAGCCCTTTCCCTGATTTATAAAGATTTTGTTTCCAGTTTTTCCTATTCTCTTAGTTTTTTCTCGTCCCTTCTTCCCTTTCTCCTATCCCGCCTACTTCCCCTACACCTTTACACCTTGTCTTCTTATTACTCAATGTCAATTATACATTTTGATTCTTATTTACACTTTTAGTTTATCACACCAGAGAAACTATATGGTATTTACATGTGTGTCCTATTAATTTCACTTAAGGGTATGACCACAATGTGCATTCACTTAGTTATAAATGTCTCTAGTTTCTCATTCTTTGGGGCTGAGTAGTAGTCCATTTTAATAGCAAAATCACATCTGCTTTATCCAGTCTCCAACTGATGGGCATTTGGGCTGTTTCCAAGTTTTAGCTATTACAAACTGTGCTGCCATAAGCATGGGTGAGCATATATCACTATGGTATGATTCTTTTCATTCTTTTGGGCAGATACCAAGCAGGGGAATAGTTGAGTCAAATGGAATCTCTGATCCTAGTTGTTTAAGGTATTTCCATATTGATTTCCATAGTGGCTGCACCATCCTGCGCTCCCACCAACAGTGGAGAAGGATTCCTTTTTCCCCACAACCCAGCTAGCATTTGTTATTGGAAATGGGCTAAGTGATTTTAATTGTCTACTTTAGTATCATTGTAAGTTATGAGGATATGATCTACCATAAGAAGCAAAGTATTCTTCTCAAACCCTACAACAAAAATTTTGGATATATTATTTAGGTACCTAATAATTATTTTTCAAAAGTATATGGTGAAAATAGTAGTAGTAATGGTACTATTCACTTCTGTATCTTCAATGTTTTACAGAGTCTTGAGAGAGCAGGTCATAAATAAGTTTATAGCGATTACTCTTGATAAATGGAAAATAACCTTCCAATTCTATCCAAGAAGTAGCTCAATTCTCTGTCCACCTTTTCACTTTAAGACTCAAAAGAAAGCTTATGAATAACAAGCCAGGACCATACTTAAACAGATATGGTACAGTAGTCCATATTTTTATTGAGAGGCTGACTTCTGGAGGAAAGAACAGATGAGGCTGACTATGGGTGGTGGATCATGGGGAGACAAATGTGTTCAGTTGGCAGCAATGGTTTCCTGAATCCAGTCCAGGTAGTTGCACACCTTGGTGTAGACACCAGGTTTGCCGTTCAGAGCACAGCCAGTGCCCCAGGAGACCACACCCTGGAGCTCTCCATTGCAGACCACAGGGCCACCACAGTCACCCTGGCAAAAGGGAAAGGAAAATCAGCACTTGTGTGTATGTCTAGCAGGAACATGGGCTCTAACATATTCCTCCATTATGCTGGAGCCATTTTAAAAGGTCACTGGTTCTCCATGGAGCACTTGCTCTACTTCTGGAAATTCTAACCTGCATCTCCTTCCTATAACTATTTTTGCTCCCCCTTTCTCACAGCCCCTCCTCTTTGCTTAGGATGTCAAGAATCCCAAGAGAAGGCGAGCACTGGAGAGATATATGCTGCTGCACCAGCTCTGCAGTTTTCACACGGGTTAAAGCTCATAGTACAGCTCCGCAGAAGATTGCAAGGGTGCCAGGTTTGCAACCCACCTTATACTGGTCATTTACTTATAACCTAAATCACTAACAACTCAAAGAGGAATTTACATTTAAAGAATTTGTGATTCATTCCAAAGCAGTTCCTCATGTACCACAATCTGTGCTAGGCACACTAGGTTTCCATGTGTTTCAGAACAGAAAACTATGGGGGAAGACTGAGATAGTTGAAGGATTACAAAGAAACTCACATCACAAGAGTCCTTTCCACCCTCCAGGAAGCCCAGGCAGAATGCATTGCTACTGATGCGGCCGGGATAGGCATTGTGGCAGGCAGTGTCAGACGGGACAGGAGCATCCAGGCACTTAAGGACGGCAGGGTGTATGCCTGTTCAGCACAAAAGTGAAAATGGAGAATTACATAGACTTGCTGAAAATAGGCGTACCTCTCTGTCTCTGCTCTTTTGTCATACTTTTACTCAGTCTTTCAACATGCCAGTGACTTCTGCTTTAAACACAGTTTCTTTTCCTAGAATGTTTTTCAGATAGTTCTAATCAATCACTTTTTATTTTGTTCCATCAGTACTGGCAGCAGCAAATTTTAAATCCAAAGAGATTTTCTCCAGCAGGTGCACACTTTAGGGAGCACTGAATTTCTTGTCTTTGCTTCTCAGTTTCTAGTTTTCTGCACATGACTAATCCCAAGACAGTCAAATACATTAACATCACTCTATTATTTATTTGAGGTTGGTTTTGTTCGTTTTGTGAGACATGGTCTCTCTGTAATGCCGTCAAACCTAGAGCACTCTATGTTGACAGGCTGGCCTTGAAATGATGATCTCTTGTCTCAGGCTCTCAAGTGCTGGGATTGCAGGGGTTCTCCACTATGCCTGGCTACAGTTCATGTTAATTACATCTTCCTTATGGTCTCCAAAAGGGTCTTGCTCTCTTCACTTATTCTAAGATTTCATATACTCACAACTATATAGAATCCAAGTTCTCACCCTCAGAACCTTGCCTTGATTGAGAATTTGGACTACCAGACACTCAAATTGTCACTCCGCTCTACCATTTTCATACTGATACTTGTTTTCATGGTTACACTTACCACCAAAGCTCACTATGTTGCCCCAGCCAGAAACCAGGCACTGAGTACCAGCAGTTGGGCAGGATTTTGGAAGACAGACTGTGGACACTTGAGAGTTGATGGTGGCAGGTGTCTTAAGTTTAATCAGCATGATGTCATGATTATAGACAGAAGTGAATTCAGGATGAACAATGGCCTTGTCTACATTGATGAATTGTTCACCACCCTCGATGACATCAATGTTGTGGTCCCCGAGATGTACTTGGAATTGACTCTATTAACAGATTAAATATCTTAATTATCCAACATACACTTTTTCCCTTTATGCCAGTCATCAATCTTAAGCATAAACACAGATTCCCTTTCAGGCAATGACTCTCAAATAATTGAACATTTAAGGTAGGACTGCACCACACCAAATGTGACAAATGGGAGAATCCCTAATGAAAGTGTTTCTGTTAGTACAGTCTCACACCACACCATCTTGTTGGAACAGTCAGGGTTAGGAATAAGAAGTAAGGGACACTTTGAAAACAGAGATGAAAAAGATTATGGAGATTCATCACTACCTGCCATTTCTTATCTTAGTGGGACTGTAGATTTTCATGGAAAGATGAAGGAGAATTAAATATATAATAGAATATTAAGAAAACAGTATGAGTAGTAATTATTTTTCAATTTGTCCTCTAAATGATATGCTATTCTATCTCTATATTTATTCTTAGCTATCTCTAATGAGTAGGACTATGTACTCAACAATTCAAGACTATTTATCTTCTAAGTCCTTTGTACCATTGTATGAAAATATACAGGGAGCTCTAAAGTTACCATACCAATAAAAATCCCTCAAGTCATCATTCCATTCCATTTTTTTTTTTTGCAGTAATCTGAATGCTCTATCCAGCAGGTGTAATTCTGTACTTTACCATGATTACATTGTGGAGCCAGACCCTAGTTTGACCTTAGACCACTGAAATGTGAATATTGTTCACTTACCGCTGGTAGCAGTGAGCTGCAGACACGACCCACTGGTCTGTGATGAGGGAGCCACCACAGAAGTGGGAGCCATCATTCAGGGACACCTGGTAGGGAAGGGCATTCTTGGGACAGGTGTAGCCCCCAATGATCTTGTCATCATCATCATCAATGGGGAGGGCAACTGACAAGGCGAAGGTGGGAAATACTGTTAAGCAGATGGATGTGGAACTTCCACTCATCATGTTTTTGCAGGCTAACTGTAAGAGAGAAGGCCGTGTTCTCTTGCCTCACATAATGAAAGTTTTAAAGTGTTTCAAAAATTTATTATTCTATATCTTTATCACATACTCTTTTGATATCACTCTCCATAAGAATATAAATTTTAATTTGTTCTTTAACAAGTTTGTTAATGGGTTTACTTGCCTGTCTCCTGTTGACACTCATACTAACAAAATTACAACGATCAGAGTCTCTCTGCAGAACGAGTGTTTGCCACCACACAGGGATATAAATAACTCTTTTTAAACAGAACACTGCTCAGCAGCTATGGAAATATGTAGGGAACCTTTCAGTAATTTTAATGATTTGTATCTGTGTTTGGTGATGGAGTGTTTGTCTGGCATTGTTATCTCCATAGTGTAACAGGACAATTTCAGATGCAAAATGAAAATATTCTGGGATAGTAGAAACTGAGCATTTTTACTTTTCTTCTCCCAATTTCTGCTTGTTTCTGTCCTTAAAACTTTGTTCAATCATTCCACATTAATGCATAATTTTCCTCTAGGCAATATTTCTTTTTAGCCCAATTAGCTTTCCAAAGTTACAGATATATATTTTATATTGTGATATACAGTCCTCAGATCTATGAAGATTTCCTATAGTTCCATAACATCCAATTATAATACATACATTTCCCAATATTTCAATATATTTTTCCAGTATGTTGATACAATTTTAGAGAAAATGTTTCCTCAAATATAGAACTATAGATTGAATTTACATGGCAAATTTTTGACATTTAGTATTAAATTTGAGTTGTCTAAATTTGAGAAGTATCAAAATTAGATAGGTTTTTCTCTATTTTTTTTATTACTGAATGTCATATGTCTTTGTATCAGTTAGATTGCATTAGTAACACTGTCATGAAACATAGCCCAAAGTTTTCATCTGGGAGAAATGATGCATCTGTTTGGTGAAGGCAATAAATAATCACCCATTTACTAGTCTAGAGATAGAGGGGCATTTATGGCTGCTTCAAGAGTCTGCAGAGTAGTTATAATCATTAACTCCAAATTCTTAGAGAGTTCAAGACAGGTGATTCTTTTATGTGAACTACCCTTCCTATTCTCTCCCTCTTTATGGCATTTAACTGCAAGTTCTGGACTAGTTCCTTGTGCCTTCTGCTAGAATCACTCCTAGTCAACATGATCTTTCTCAGACAAGGGTGATTTAATTATCCATAATCTTATTAACTATATACTAGACTTTCACCTCTAAGCTTCTTCAGCACAGAAACTGTATTCAATATTAATTAGGTTTTTCACAGTATGAAACACAAATGACACACACCATATACACCTGCTGATATGTTGTTCCCTGAAGACACTCACCAGCAGCTCCTAGGAAAGCCAGAAAGATAAAGGTCTTCATGGTAACTCCCGGACTGCTGGACAGGGTGATGGCTTTCCATCCACAGGCATTTATATGCACAGGTTTGTTGGTGACACCCATGGCTATAGGTGCCAAAAGTGATTTCAATAGAAAAGAAAAAAAATTCTAAATTAAGAATTTAATTCTGGGCACATGCAAGATTATTCAGCGTGAATTGTAAATATCAGCCTTATTCTACCTTTTCAGAGTTTTACGGGAAAGAAAGTAGAAAGCCCACCTGGTGGAAATTCTTCTGTATAATAGGAAAATAAATGGAAAGATTGCAGGATGGAGCCACAGGTTTCCTGATTCCCAAGCAAAAATATCAGGGGCTTGATTGATTCAACTGTAATCTTTTGCCATTGTGAACCCGGCACACTTAGTATTTAATTTACATTGGCGCTTTCACAGTTCTCTACTTGGACTTGGGGCAGTTTGACCTTACATGTCCATTATAACTTTCATTATGAGTCTCAAGTTGTGCTCTTGAGGAAGGCAAATTTGTTCTTTTTTGAAATGATATAAATAGGAAGTAGAAAATAAAATCATGATATTAAACTGCACTTATTTAATGTCTACTATATAGCAGGGCATAATCTTCCTTCCTTTATATGTATTCAATTTTAACCATTTCAGTTATAGTGACCATGTAACAAACATACTAAATGTCACATTTTGGAAATAATCCATAAGCTTTCAATAGTTTTTATTCCAGTTGTTTTATTATTTTGCTGATAGTTGTTGGTTTCTCACTTGCTTAATTTACATATCATATTTTATGATATACATATTAGAAAATATGGGTATATAGGATCTGATATCACATCTAGTGTGAGGCATGATCTGGGTGTCTTCGATGTATCTCCCATGCTAAGGTGGGACTATCATATTCTATGTTGTTTGCTTATATTAATGTGGTAACCCTTATAAAACCATATGAGGTACATAATACAATCCAAACTTTATAAATGCAAAAGCTAGGGCACTAAATGAGAAATGGCACAGAAAGAAGCAGCAGCTGCTTGTGGCAAGCCAAACTGCGTCGGCACTGTAGGGACTTTGCAGCTGCTGTCCAGAGGGCCTCTGATTTCTTTCCTGTTTCCGGTGTCAGTGGCCTATAAAGGATTTGTTGATAGAAGGAGTCTTTCTTTGGTCTTTGGAAGTCTATAGACTTTGCCTGGCTGTGTTTTACCAGGGTGCACACCAAAGGTCTTCTGTTTCTTGTATTTGGGACTTTAATAGAAGTTTGGATCTTCCTTTGCCCTACTGGAGTATAACATCTGTTATAATGAGAAACCAAATCAAAGAGAATAGGAATTATTTAGGGAGAAATTGATATTTGTTATTGCAGTTGGATTTATGTTTGATTGCTAAATGCCTTGGCTTCAAACACTTAGAAAAACAGGGACATGTAAATAAGGATAAATAGGATTTATATTTCCTTCAGTGGAAACATATGTCACTCCTAAATTGGTTTCTTGTTTGCTAAGCTAGAAGTGTAGGGTAGTATACAGGGGGCCAAAAAGTTTACATATCTAAATATCCGTAATTTTGAATATGGGTTTATGAAAAATTATATATGTCTGACTTGCTGTGTACAAATTGTGATGCAATGTTTTAACATCTGTGTTACTCTCTTTACAAGATGTCAGAAGCCTCTATTCTCTAGTTGAACGAATATAAAAAGATTGTTCTTTGCCCCTTTTATTAAAATACTACATCTAATTCAGAAACAAATTAGGGTAGGAAGAATTATTGATGAGCTAGACCTCTGATTCATGAATTTCTGTCCCTCTATTTGAACATTTTAATACATTTTGCAAAACAAATTTTCAATTGAATCACGCTTTACTTCTGTAGACAAAAAAGGTAGGATTTAAATTTATATCTCAACCGCAACCTCACTTCTTGATCATTTTTGCCTTTACCTGGCCTTTTATTATGACTTTGTTTTAATGATGTTTAGGTTAAGATATGCATTGTTTTAAATTAACTTTATTGGTACAATTTAGATATACATCATGATCACATTCATTGTAGGGAATTTGTACTGGTACATATAATATCTTTATTCCTCTATTTATCCCAATCCCCTCTCCTCTACTCAACTCCCTCTCTTTCTTATTTATGTTTGGTTGTTTTTTTTGGTGCTGGGGATCAAACTCAGGACCTTGTGCTAGCAAGGTAGGTGTGATGCTAAATCGCTGGCTTCCCTCTTCCTTATTTACAAAAGTTTGTTTTCATTTTTTTCCTTCTTTCCTCATTTTTGCTTTTCTCTTCTTTCATTTTTCCCTCCTTCTTCCCACTTCTGATTTCCTTTTGTTCAACTTATTTCTATTTCACATTAACTATTGTACATTTTGGTTCTTATTTACCTTTTCAATTTCTCCTACCTGTGAGACAATGCAATATTTACATGTGTGTCTGATTTATTTCATTTAAGAGTATAATCTCCTATTGAATCACTTTAGCTATAAATGTCTCAAATTTACTTTCTTTATGGCTGAGTAGTACTCCATTCTAAAAAAACCACACACACTTCTTGTTTATCCATTCATTGATTGATGGGTGTTTGGATTGTTTCCAAGATTTAGCTGTCATAAACTGTGTTGCCGTAAACATGAATGTGCATATATTGCTGTGGTATGATTCTTTCAGTTCTTTCGGGAAGATACCCAGAAGGGAAATGGCTGGGTCTCCAATCCTACTTTTTGGAGAATCCCCACATGTATTTCCAAAGTGGTTGCACCAGTCTGCACTCCCACTAACAATAGAGCAGCAGGGTTCCTTTTCCCTCCCCACCCTGCAAGCATTTGTTGTTGATTGATTTCTTGATAATAGCCATTATTTCTGAAGTGAGATGGAACCTCAGTGCTGTTTTAATTTGCATCTCTGGAATGATCAATGATGATAAACACTTTTTCATACATTTATTTGCTGTTAGTGCTGTTAGTACTTTTTCACTGAGAAGTGTCTATCCATTTCAGATTGGGTCTTCCAATTTGGGGGGTGTGATTTTTTTCAAATTTTTTTTTTTGGTGGGGGTACCGGGGATCGAACTCAGGTCCTTGTGCTTGCAAGGCAGGCCACCGAACTGCTGAGCTAAATCCCCGGCCCAATTCTTTGTATGTTGTAGATATTAGTCCTTTTCATTTGAGGGACTACTGGCTAAATTTTTTTCCCACTCTTTTGGTTGTTTCTTCACTGTGTTGGTGATTTCTTGTATTTTTATATCTATTTTCTACTCTGTTTTAGCTAAAAGTGAAGCCTTTGGAAATACAAACTGAAGATTAAAGACTGCATAGGAAGAGATTAAAGCAATATTCTAAAGGAAAAATGTTAAAAAACAAAGCCTTGGTCAGTGACAAACCTAAATCCTAGCTATAGAACATGCATTATTTTCTGTATCTCATTTCTGAATGGTTGGGTGCATCTGTGTATTGTAGGATTTGTCTGTATGAATGCCATGTCTGTGAATTGGCTACATGGTACTAAACTGACCTGAAAAGAAGTGAGTGATCATAAAATAAAACTGTGAATCCAAATAATAATCAAATTATGTGTGTCTTGAAACACTGGAAAAAAGATAACTACTTTTTAAGACTGTTGGTTTAATAAAAAGCAGCTGTATTCTGATCCACAAATATTTAACTTTATAGAACTCTGCTTGAAAAGTGACCTCCTCCTTTAAGACTTCAAATTTTCTACAGACAGTTGACACAGTAGTTAAGAATGGATTAATTAAGTAAATATAAACTGCATAAGCATTCATAAATGCATTTTCTTTTCTTAAAAATGTTTCTGCTGAATTGTAAAATTTTAGGTTTATGTTACACTAAATTAAGTGATATTCTTTCTGTGTTCAGCTTATTTGTAAAGAAGACAAAATACTAAACCTAGTGGCTGAGCAAAAGTTTAGGGAAATAGCTTTAGAATTAGGCTATTATATGATATAATGGGAAATAATTCTTTATATAAGAAAAAGACAATGGTTTATAAAGAAAACTATAAAATGTGAAAGCTTGTTGATGAATAAAGAAGGTACATTTTCTTATCCCGAGAATTACAGTGATAGCCAAATAAGGAAGCAAAATAGGACAGCAAAATAAGAAATAGTGTAGACAAATTGTGGAAAGTTTAACAATGATGTAGAAGTTTTATGGAGGAATGAGAGTAAAAGATGCCATGTGTGATTGAGTTGCCCAAACTTATTCATGAGATTTACTGGGGCAGAATGGATAGCAAAAGTACATTTGCATAAAAATAAACTCTGCTCATTTTGTTTAAATAACAAAATTTAACATTGATCTGGAAGTAAACTGTTAAATTTCATTTTTCACTTTTATACATCTGACCTAATAAACCCTATATCATTTCTTATGGTTTCAGAAAATAAGCACAACAATGTTTTCTTTCCTTGGTTAAAAAATTTTTCATCCTACATAACTAAAAGTTTTAAATCTTTGATACAGGTCACACCCTCTAAAACCTAATCCGCTTTAGTGTGGAACTAACTTTGGCATTTCTAGAGTGCTCTCGGTAGTAAGGGTGAACCTTTTAGAGACTGAGTACCTAAACTGCAACCAACATTCAATTATTGCAAAGTACCAGCACTGCAATTAAACCTGAAGACTGAGGTTTCAGTTTAGATCTAAAACTCCTAACCTATTTTATCTTAAATGAAAGACACAATAACATGTCTGCTGTTGGTCTGTCACCAGTGACATAAGACTTTAAAAAGAAATGTGAAGTTTCTACATATGCTTACCATGCCTGTTCTGCATCTTTTCCCACCTGGAGTCATTTTCTTCTCTTAAATGTAGTTTTGTTCTGTTTTTTGTATTTTAGTATCAGGCATCGAACTTGGGACTTTGCACTTATGAGGCAGGCTGCAGAGCCACTGAGCTAAATCCCCGGCCTTTAAATGTAGTTTTTGATAAAAATAGACTTATTTTACTAATGTACTGTTATCTTTTTTAATACTTTTGTGGTTTTAGTATTATAAAAAATGTGGGCTTTGCATCAAATCTACTGTACAAGCTATCAATTTTGCTTTCTCTATTCTGGGTTTGTATTTTCCTTGCAAGATTTGTAAATATTGCCTGTTAACATTATGCAGCTCCTGACAACATAATCTGGCCCAGCACTGTGAGATGCTAGCCGTCACTTATAGAACAGACAGAGCAAAAATTTAGAGAGAGACTCCCAGCAAACTGAGCCCGGCATTGATTCATTCTAATCATCCTTGTTGCTGAAATGTGTCTAAAAGGCTTTGGACCCGAACTCCTCATCATCTATCACAACACCTCCAGGGAGGCATCAGATCAGGCCAAAAATCAGGACAGGTCATCCCAGCAAAGAGGGGATCTCAAAACCCAAGCACAGAATGGATGACCAGTGAGGATTTCAGAAAAAAGCATGCAAACAAAAGAAGAGAATGTTGACAGAATCAAGATGGAGTCAGTCATGTCACCCTACCAGAAAGTAAAAAGAGCTGGGTGGTAGTGAAGGAAGTGCATTATTGCTGGACCACAGAAGTAAAAGTCCTTGTGCCAGGTATGTCCACATGAAGGCCAGGACACATAGTGATGAAGACTTTTACAGAAAGAAAGTCCCCACTACATAATTCATAATTGTGTTCTGCTTTATAGTTTACACTAATAGTTCTATTTGAGGCTTAAACACATGGGCCTTTTTACCTATAGGCTTCAACCATTTTTTAAAGAACCAGTTTGTGACCTTCTTTTGAACTAGCTTCCTACACAGTCAGGGAACTTGCAAATAAAATGGGTCCTAAGTAGTTTCTTTCTTCTAAGCCCATTCCATTCCTCCATGCAGTCACACTAAGCCACATCCCCAGATCTTTTAAAATAATTCTATTGTGAGATACAACCTCATTAATTCACCTAGTCTGGACAGGAACATGCATTCCTGTCACAGCCTCCTAGAGTACTGAGATTACAGGTGATTACCACCACACCATGAATTTTCTCGAGTTCTTATATATACTTCTTCCCACCATGATTGGTATTGTGTTATATTTTTCTTATCCAAAGGATAGTGCCTTCTAGACTCCAACCAACCTCTGCTCCAAGATGTCAAAAATAAGTGCATATGTAATGAACAGGTACAGATTTACCTTTATCACCATTTTTAAAATAAAAGCACACTGATTATAACAGTGCCTGTAATATATTTAAATAAGTTGAATAACTGAAAATTTTCCAAAACAATTCCCCGTGATAATCAAGGGATGACACTATCAAGTATGCCATGTGTCTTGCAGAACAAAAATTTACTTCTTGCTCAATGGCGTGCCATGTGACTGAGCTGTAGGCCCATCAGTCTAGTTCCATTTCACTCTCAGGTGAGGGATGTGAAAGTGACTGATGTAGGAGTGACTGCACCCTGACAAAGAGACACTATACAATGTCTGTTGGGGCACTCAGGATGGTAGGTTTTCAATACATTTTCTGGAAACAAATTTTTCTCTCCTTACATGTGCCAAAATAAGATAGCCTATCTTCCAGATCTATTTTATCATCTCTATGTTAAGGTTGACAGCATGGACAGCAGAGGGCAGACGCGGAAAGAACTTGATTGCATTTTCATGAATCTCACCATCCTCGAAAACCACCTAGGCTCCCATTTGTGCATTTTAAAGACCTTATGAGATGGATATTCTTGTAAAAGGATGTCTCCTAAGTGATATTTTCATGTGTATACATTTTATCTTTATCTCTGCATGCTTATCATAGGAAGATAAATTTTTAAAACCTAAATTACTTCTTTTAATGAGAAGAGAAAAACAACTTCCAACTTTCAGTTTAGCAGCCACTTACAAAATTTGATGAGTTACTTTTAAGCAAAGCAAGAGATTGAAAATGACTGGAAGATGTATTAAAAAAAAAGACTGTAGCACATCATTAAATGCAAATGAATTGTTTATTATTTTGGTGCTTTTTGTGTGTGTGTGTGGACCTGACCTAACCTTTCATCTGTTAGAAATATCACCTTGTTATCTCTTAGAAACTTCACTTGGCAATGAAGTAACTGTGGATTGACGATGGGGATGGGGTAAAGTAAGAAAAGCATAATTTAAGGTGAAAGTGGAAATCTTAAACTCAATTGATTCTTAGGAGGATCCTGATACGTTTAGTTGAGCTTGTTGCAAACCTACTTATTTAAACACAGAGAACTTATATACTAACACACATCCAAAGTCCATTTTACTAGGAAATGAGACAGGAAAAACTTGGTGAGCATAAATCCTTAAAGGTTTGAATGCAAGGCTAAGAACCTTTGGCTTCACCCTGAGCGTGTGATAAAGCGATATTAGGTCCTCATAGTTTCTGTCTACTGTCTCCCACAGCTTCCAAGTGAGTAACTTGGCCATGAGTGCATGGATGTCTTACATACCAATCATAAACTGTACGTTTATTTCCCTCATCATTCACAGATTAAAACCTTACTATTGGCTGAAATATTGTTGGGAAAAGGAATTTTTGGGAGGTAATCAGACTTTGAAATGATAGGGTAGAACCTCTAGGATAGGATCAATAAAGTTTAAGAAAAGGAGACTAGAGTTAGATTTCTTGGTTACATAGATACAGTGATATGGGGCATGAAGGAGCATCAGTCAGCCAGGATGGTGGCCCTCCAGCCTAACTAGCTGGTGCTTCCACCTTGACTGTGGCGGCCTTCAGAAGTGTAGGAAGTGAATGTAAGTCACCAAGTCCGTGGCATCTCTAACACAGTAGTGTGGGCTGAGCAAGGTAGTATCCTTGCATTCTATCACCGAGGCTGCATCTAGCCCTTTAAAATCTGCTGTAGTTACATCAATGTACATATTTCCAGAGACTACTATTGATGTTTCTGTGTCTTATTCCAGATATACACACTTATCACAGGTGAGGACTTCTGCAAACCAGGCTCTGGAAGGTGTGTAGGGCAATGAAGATGTGAAAAGTGCATATGGTGAAAACCTCAGGCGGAGGGGTGCAGAACACTCTCCCAGAAAGGCTGAAGGGGACAGATAACATATCTGGAGCCAAGACTAATATGGGTTTAGAGTAATATATCTCTTTTCTGCAAATTAATTTTCATTTATACTGGGGGCTACTGTTTTAGTTATTACCTCATTTGGGCTGGTATTTGGGTACTTGTAGTGGGGGTACACATTGTCTGCAGAGCCTTTGATGTAATAATAGTATTTCAACTGGGAAGAAGAAATTTTGAAAAACTGAAAGTTACAGTTAAATGAAAACATGGGAAATGTAGGAAATCTCTGATCTTTTAAACCTCTCTGATCTTTCTAAATCTAGATTTTTCTCTGACCTAGCATCACAGGCATTCAGAAGAGTGATGAACAAAGGGAAAAGACAGCAATCTGTCACAGAAGAAACAATGCAATGCGGATGAGGACAGCCTGGATGCAACATAGATTTATGGCTATCTGTATGCATGCTGTATGAGCAAGTGATTTTAACTGTGAATTTCAGTGTGATTATTTGTTGTAATGTTATTTGTTATGACGATATGTTGTACCACAAAAATTCTGAAAGTGAATTGTCTTTGAATCATCTGACAAAATTTATCTGACACACTGTTTAAGTGTCTGTTATTTTGTGAACAAAAGTACTATTTACAATGAGTTTATTCCTATTTATGGCCTCCATGAATTAGAATCTATAGTAGGTGATCACCAAAGTTATGATCATTAGAAAAACAGCATTTCAGATTATCTCAGTCATCTAGTTCAACTCCCTATCTACCTTTTCATTTAGCACTGATAGTCAAGAGAAAACTTATGACTAAGAAGCAAAGATCATCCTTGTTCAGACATTATGCAGAAAAAGTTATTTTATTTAGGTACAGATTTCAGGCATAGAGGATGGTAAATGTGACAACTAGAGTATGGATCATGAATGATGAAAGTATTCAGTTGGCAGCAATGGTTTCCTGAATCCAGTCCAGGTAGTTGCACACCTTGGTGTAGACACCAGGTTTGCCTTCCAGAGCACAGCCAACACCCCAGGAGACCACACCCTGGAGCTCCCCATTGCAGACCACAGGTCCACCAGAGTCACCCTGGAAAAGAAAAACCACTATTAGAGCTCATGTTGTAGTACATATTGGAGAATGGGCTTCATGTTGCTTTTCTATTATTCTTGGGTCATTTGTGAAGATGGCTGGTCCTCCAGGAAGAACCATTACTACCCCTGGATATTCAAACCCTAAACTTCTTCTTGTGTAATGATAATTCTTTCTCCTTTCTTATGATTGCTTCCTTTCTGTAGAGTGTCAAGAAGCCCCCCCAAAAGGTGAGAAGTGGAGAGATTGAATTCTACTTTATTATCTCTGTTGTTTTCACAAGTGTTGCAGCCTAGAGTATAAATCCTCAGAGTTTTCATGGGTGTATTTTTGCATACCTTCTTCTTTGTGCCCTTTCCTCTTAACCCTTACTTTGTTATATTTGTTAATATAAGACAGAGAAAATCTACTTTCAAAATTTGTAACTCATCACAACACAATTGCTAAGCGACCATAGCCATTCTTGGAGACCTGTTGAATATTTTTCATTTCTCCAAATTTTACAAAAGGACTGTGTTGGAGAATAGTGAGACTGAGGGAGGTGGCAAGGATACAAAGCTCACCTGGCAAGAGTCCTTTCCACCCTCCAGAAAGCCCAGGCAGAACATGTTGCCAGAGATGCGTTTTGGGTAGGATTCGTGACAAGAAGCATCAGAGAGGACAGGAGCTTTCAGACACTGGAGAAGGGAAGGGTATTTATCTGTTGAATGCAAGTGTGAAAATGGGAAATTACACATCACCAGTCTAAAGATGTCCCACTATAATTGCTGTAAATGCCTTAGCCACAGTAGCTCTTCTCCCTCAGAATACTCCTACACTTTCAGTTTTCCCATGACTCCTAATTTGGGAGAAGTTTTCTTTTCCTAGAAGGTTTTCCAGATCACTCTAATCAACAACTTGATCTTCCTCCAACAGTAATATCATCAGCCAATATCTTAAACCCAGAGCAGGTGTACGCTTCAGCTAGCCCCAAGCTGCTTCTCCTCCATTCCCCTTACCTTCTCATCTCTAGCTCTCTGCACATCACTAATCCCACCTCAGCTAAAGTCTCACCCATTCTAATAGTTGTTTTATGCTGCATGTGCAGCATGATCATCACAAGAGTCTGGCTCTCTTTAGTTAATGCATTTCAAAGCTGTGTATGTTCACAACTATTTCAAATTCAACTTCCACCTCTGCAAAACTTATCTTACATGAAGATTTGGGCAGACATACTCTCAAAGCACCCTTCAATCTATTGTTTTCAGATGTATATTTTTCTTGTTTATACTTACTGCCAATGATAACTGTGTTGCCCCAGCCAGATACGAGGCACTGAGTACCAGCAGATGGACAGGATTTTGGAAGAGAGACTGTGGACACTTGAGAGTTGATGGTGGCAGGTGTCTTCAGTTTAATCAGCATGATGTCATTGTCATACTTGAGTGTGTATTGCCCATCGATGATAGTATTTTGGGGTGCATATTTGGGATGGGGAATGATCTTGTCTGCAGCAATGAATTGCTCATCACCTTCAGTAACGTGAATGTCATGTTCTCCAAGATGCACCTGGATTTTCACTTGACTGTATTGAAAGATTTAAAATATCCTAAGTGTCCAACATTTGCTGCATCCCTTTACCCCATCCATCAAACATAAAAAACAAATATCATGTTTTTCAAACACTGAATCATACATGTAATTGTACATTTATCCTAGCATTGCTCACTATTCCACATGGTGCAGGTCAGAGAATTTCCTAGGTAAGTGCTTTTTTTTTTTTGTACTGGAATTGAACCGAAGAGACTTTGAGCTTGCTTGTGAGGCAGTTGTGGTGCCACTGAACTAAGTCCCTGATCTAGTGCCATTTTTTAATATATATTCAGAGTTCACCATCTCAATACAATAGTAAGTTTTAGGAACTGGAACCCAAATTCAACTTTAAAACAGCTGGATTTCAAAAGAGGATGGAGGTAGATTGATGAGCACCTGCCAATTTTCACGGAGTAGGGCTCTTCGAATGCAATGGGATAATGCAGCAGAGTCAGAAAAGCAACTAAGGTAGAAAGAACAGAATGCCTTATGCTTATAATTCATGTCCTACTGAAATATGATATATTTTATTATGTCCACAGGGTTGTCATTCCTTGTTGAGCTACAATGATTAGGACTACGTACACATCCATTTTGAAGCTATTTCTGGGGATATTTCATCAAACACTTTTTTTCTTCTAAAGCTTCTGAGTGCCATCTTCTATAAAGACTTGAAGAACTCAAAGACTACCAATCTGAGCCCTCAATTCATCATACAATTAATTCTTCAGGGGAAAAATCAGGCTTTTCAGGATTTAAATGCTTTATGAATCAATCACACTTTTGTCCTATATCCTAATTGTTCTTTGTTGAGTTGAAAGGATAAGTTGAACTTCCAACATAAGAATATGAACATAGATCACTTACGGCTTGTAGCAGTGAGCTGCGGACACCACCCACTGGTCAGTGATGAGGGAGCCACCACATCTATGGGAGCCATCGTTCAGGGACACCTGGTAGGGGAGGGAATTCTTCTGACAGTTGTAGCCCCCAATGATCTTGTCATCATCATCATCAATGGGGAGAGCAACTGACAGGTAAAATTAGGGAAACTGTTCAGAAAATAATCATGAATTTTTTGCAGACTACTAGAAAGAGATGACAAAGTTCTCTTGCCTCACAAAATCAGGAAATGGGAATTCTAAGGTTTTTTTTTTTTTACAAAAAATTTTTATTCTACAATATTAACACATACTTGTCTCACATCACTGTTAATAAGTATTTGAAATTTTAATTTATGCTTCAAGTTTATTAAATAAGTTATTTTACCTCTCTACCATCCATCATACAAATACACAGATGCTAGCAAACATACCCACAAACTTGCAATAATTAGAGGCTCTTTAGAGAATAAATGAGTGACCACAAATACCTGATGACAAAAGAATCAATAGCTCTTCTGCACAGAACCCTGGCTAACATGCACGAAAATAGAAAGCTTTGCAGTAATCTCGCTGGTGTGTGTATAAGAGGTAGGTGACAGGTATTTGTCAGGCATAGCTCTCTCCATAAAGTAACAGAAAGAATGTATTTGAAAACAATCTGAAAGCATTTACCTGAAGGAAATGAACAGTTTACTTTGAGTGTCTTCATTTCTTTCTTTGATTCTGGCCTAAAAGTGCCATCTAATTATTTTACAAAACTTTTTATGTTTCCCCTACCCAATCTTTCCCATTACTCCAGTTGTCTCTCTAATATTATCAATGTGGTTTTCACTGTGAAAGATGACCCATTTATCTATAAAGATCTCATACAACTTATGAATCTTGCAATAATTTTATATGAACTTACTTTTTTCCATTATTTTTAAAAAATTAGTAAAATATTTCTAGACATGCAGACATGTAGATTAAATTTGTAATATGGGAAGTTTGGAAAAATTAGTATGAAATTATAGTACTGTAGAATTTAGCATCATCAAAAGTGAAATTGTCATAGCTCTATTTTTATTTTAATTCCTCAATGACATATGACTTCATAAGAAATTTCACTAGGAGAGTTGTCATGATATGTAGCTCCTGATATTTATTTAGGAAGTATAAATATCTTATTTTGTGACGACACCATGGATAATTTAACCAGATTGTTAGTGTTCAATCTTATCTTGGACATTCATGGTTCCTTTAAGAGGGAGAGATTAGTTTCAATTATTAATGCCAAATGCTTGAAGATGTCAAGATAAACACATAAACACTTTTTTATGTGTACCCTCTTTTTTTTCTGTCCTTCTTCAAAGAATGTACCTTAAATTCAGAAAACCTCTGCTACTTTATGCCCTGTCCTCGGAATCACTCTTAGTCAACATTATTTTCATTCTATTATGGAGATTCAATTATCCTATAACCTTATTCCTACTACTATATTTTTGACATTTTCAGTTTAAATGGAGCTTATATTCAATATTCATTGAAATTTTCCTCAGAATGAAGCAAAAACTTACATTACAGGATAACAACTCGCTGAGAAATCCACTAAAGAGACTCACCAGCAGCACCCAGGAAGGCAAGGAAGATGAAGGTCTTCATGGTCCTTCACTGGATCTGGACTGGGATAGGATGAAGACTTTCAATCTACAGGTATTTATACATCGAGGTTTGTCATTGATGCCCTGGCCACAGGTGCCAGAAAAGTTATTTCAGTGGAAACACACAAATCTAAACTTAGAATTCAATTCCATTACACTTGGAATGTGACCCAGCCCCGAATTTAACCATCAATATATTTCACTTTCCTATAAGGTTATGGGAATGGAAGGAAGAAGTACACCTGCTAGGAACAGTTCCCCAAGGTAGGAAAATAAGTAGGAATGAGGTCACAGAACATGGCTACAGATTGCCAGATACCTGATAAGTCTTTGGATCTTGGTTGACTCTCAACTATGAGCTTTTGTGATAAAATGCTCCTGAACCTGCACCTTTGGTGTTTAATGAACATTCTTTCCCACAGTTATATACTTTGTCTTAGATTAGTTCTGATCTCATATGTCCATTTTACACATTTTCAATAGTAGTAGCAACTTATTATTTTGTTTGTTTTTGTTTTTGGTACTAGGGATCGAACTCCGGACCTTGCACTTGCGAAGCAGGTGGCAGAACCACTAAGCTAAATCCCCAGCTGAGGAACTTATTATTTTGAATCATGGAGATATTTTCATTTTTAAAATTACAATGAATTAAAAAAGGGAAAATAAAACAATGATAAAAACATTTATCTAGAGCTTACATTATGTTAGGGATTCAATAATTCTCCCTTCCTTATGATTTCATATTTTAAGGTTTGAGGTAGGCACAGTGAATCATAGACTGAAATCATTAAATGGGAAACTTCTATAAATGAATAATTGATATGTTTTGAGTAATTTTTCTTAAAGGATGTTTTTATATTTGTACTTTTTCAATATTGGTTGTTGCGAATTTCTTGTTAATTCATAAGTTAATTTTATGATAGGTATTTATGCATTGGACAATGCTCATGTGAAGAGTTTGGTACTGTGTACAGATTTAGGCATCTGTCAGGAGTTTAGAATCTATTTCTCATGCAGAAGTGGGGACAGACTGTTAAGTACTTTGCTTTTGTTAATTCTAGTAATCCTCAGGACAATCATAAGAGGTGTATGTTGTAATCTCAAATTTACAGATGTGAAAACTAAGACAGCAAAGGTATAGGGCACTTGACTAAAATTACTCAGCAGGCACAGAGAGTCAGTTTTTCAACTCTGGCTTCAGTACCCATGATCTTATCAAAGTAATACCAGAATTCTTGGCCAAGAATTATGTGGTCGAAGTTCATAGTGCTTACTGATTATAAAGCACCTTGAAAAGTGTGTCCATTCGTCTCTTCATTCAGTTTCCTGAAAATGCATTAAATATGGTACTACAATTTTTACCACTTAAGAGATGGAGGAAAGAGGCTTATAGAAGTAGAAACTGGTTTTCAGAGCTTTTGTATGATCAATACTGTGTTCATACTCAAGTAGGCTGACTTCAACTCCGAGGCCAGAGGCCCAAAAAGGGATGCAATCTGAACTGTGTCAGACTAAGCACTGACTTCAAGTTCTGGAAAATACAAGAAATGTGATAAATGGCTTCTTGAAGCAGGGTGATCAGAAGCAATAGGGAAAAACACAGCATCCAATAGGAGGGACTCTCAGTGAGAAGGAAGCACAGACTAGATATAGTAGCTAGATTTCCAGCCTCCACAATAAATCTGATGTCTCTTACCAAGAGGTAATTTCTACTGAAGCAAAGTCTTCTTCTTATTGCTTTTTTTTTCCAGTTTTGCTTCTTTCAAGAAAACAGTGTGAGTAAAATTTTTGTAAGCCTGATGAAATCCACATTTGGACCAGGCACTATGCCTATCCAAACTATAGTATTCTTGAGTATAAGCTCTGTCACATGATTATGATATCGTATTTTAACTATGTGTATATAAAATCTCTATGGATTGTTTAGACTATGAGGTTGGGTGCATCACTTATATGGTAGTTTTGTTGAAGGCATTTGTGCCTCAGAATAAAAGACTAGTTTGGTTACTGGATGAGAAAATGTGTTTTACTACAGGGATGAGAACTTATTTTTTAAAAAACATGTATAAAGGGATGGTTGAAAAGTAGGATTCTCTCAAAATCTTTAGAATCCCTATTGCCTAAATGGTATGGAAATTGCATATGAAGAGATTGAGGTGTTCTGAATAAATGAGACCTCTAATTCTCAAGTCTCTTGTATGTGTATCCTTTCAAAAGACTGATATTCTTAAATGAATTTTAAATGTAAAGCTAAAATAATACTGAGTGTAAGCATATTTTCAACAATTCTTTAAAAGTACTAGTTAGATCCCATAGAGGAGGAAAAATATTAACATTAATACTGAACTACATAAGATTTATAGGGGAAAAGAGACTTCTTTTTGTCTTACTAAAGCAAATTTCCTTAGGTTAAATTGATTTTGAGGACATGAAGTTTATTGGTTGTTAATGGGAGAACTAAAAGACAGATCATGCCATGTACCAGATTGACAGAACATTTTTAGCTTATATAATTTCTATGAGAAAAATACATGGGTACAAAAATATATATTTTAAAAAGTAGGATCCAGGGACTTAGCTCAGTGGTTCCACCACCTGCCTTGCAAGTGTAAGGTCCCACGTTCGATCTTGGGTACAAAAACAAAAAAAAAAAAAGTAGTTCAGCTTCTAAGTACAGTTGTTACTTCATTTTATATGCCTCCAAAAGGTTTTAACCTTGAAGTTGACATCTGCAAGATTTATTTGTTTCTCCTGCCACTCCTCCATTTTCTAAATTTGACTTTTTGCTTTTTGATCTCTTTCTCTGCTCATTAAAACCCTGATGATAGAAGTTCCAATTTTAGGATGAGGGGAAACTTCTGTTGGGAAAGAGATATTTAAGAAAAGAAGAGTTTTCTATAAAATGGAATATTACTCAGCCATAAAGAATGAGAAAATAGACTCATTCATAGGAAAATGGATACATATTGAAGATATACTCCTAAGTGAAATAAATAAGTCACACAAGTATAAATACCGAATAGTTTCTCTGGTATGAATAAACTGCAGTAATACAGAAGATCCTAATAAGATTACTGACATTGTGAAATGGGAAGAAAGGGGCTAAAGGTGTAGGGAAGGTGGGATGGGTAGGGGAAGGATAATAAGGGAATAGAAAAAATGTGAGATAATGAAAAGATGGAAATAAAGTGTTTGTAGATGGGGAGGAGAGGAGAGGGTGAAGGGAGGGCAGGGACAAGGGGAAAAAATGACAACCAAGACCTGTCATGTAGAGGTACAAGATCCCAACGATGAATGTAACTGTACTGTATCCCTAAAATGTACCAATAAACTCAATTAAAGCTGAAAAAATAAAAAAATAAAAAAATAAATAAATTTTTAAAAAGTAAAGCAGGAGGCAGTTAAAAGAAAAAGAAAGGAAGAGTTTTTCAGGAAAAAGATTGACATTAGGTATTTCTGTTTGATTTATATTTCATGATTATGATACCTTAATTTGCAAAGACTTGAAAATTTGAATAATTTTTACTAAGGATGACTTGGCTTTATGTTTCCTTCAAAAGGTAACATTTTACTTTCTGAAACTGATTTTCTTACATTCTAGACTAGAGGCCTTGAACAATAAAATAAAAGAAATATTTACATATGTGGTTATGTGATATAAGGTGCACCTATTTCTGACTTGCTCTATCTAAATTTTGATGCACTTAAAAGTATCTGAAAATGTTTTCACCTCTTTGTGTAGGTTGATTCTTAGGTATGTTTTGAAATTGTTGATGACAGAACTCTATCCTACCTTCTTTTTCAGTGGTTTGGAGGTATATTAAAGCATAGCATACCTACCTGCAGAACAATTGGGCATGAATTGTCAATCATCGTGGGATTGCCTACTCAGATGAGTGCATTTTTCTCTCAAATTCAATAAACTTATCAATATTGTAGAAAAAATATATTCATATAAATATATTTCCACTTTTCCTCTGTGTTACTTGCTTCTAGAAAGAGTTAAACCTCAGGTCTTCTGATTATACAACCATTCAAACCTCTGATTTCTTCCTTGTCAACTGACACTATATGGTGCAGGAAAGGCAATAAAACACTTGCACTCAAAACAGCTGATATAGGTGTTTATCTGTCTAGAGGCTGATTCCCTATCTTGTTTAGTGTAGAAACTTTATTGAAACTGGTTTTAGGTTCAGGAGAATGCACTGGAATTTTCTTTCACTGAGATACTTGTTTTCATCATTTATTAGAATTATAAAAAGTTTGAGTAGGGGCCTTGTGCGTAGAACCCTCTAGGATATTTGAAGAGCACCTTGACTGCTTACTCTGTCATCTCTGGAGGCTCCTAATTCACATTCTGATGCATAATGACCTTTACCAAATCTGTAAGGAAATGGATGCTAAGTAAGTCTTGATAAACACTTGGTCATTTTCTTATCCACTATATTTTTAATACAGCCTTCCTGTCTTGCATGGAGGATAGGAGTTCTATTGAGGAGAAGCCAAGGCAGTATCTATGAGCTTCCATTAGTTAGAAAAACAATGAACGTGGTAAAGGAATTAATAGAAGTGTTCTTTGGAGGATACCATTTGTAGGATGCTACAGCAGGCATTCTTTTGTTTCACCTTTCTCCACATCTTAGTAACAGAGAAAGATTAATTCTACAATGGCGAAAGATGTCAGTCAAAAGCAGTTTCCCTTGAAAGGTGAGATTTATACATGTACCCACTGTTTTGCTCTAATAATTGGTAAAATAGTGATTTGATTGTCATGTAAAGAAAACCTATCACTTAGCTTCATGTCTTACCTGCCTCAAATATGTGGCCTTGCTGGTTCACATGGTGACTGAAGTTTCTCAGGTTTGCTCTAAATTCAAGGTAGTATCCTAAATAAATTGGTGTCAAAGAGGCAGGGTCAAGAATAAAAGCTGAGGTGGGGGCAGCATGCAAGATGTCGATCAAGAATTTCTGAGTCAGTGATGGGGACTGGATTTGCCCTGA